TCCGACTCCTGGGTGTGTCACGATCAGAGCCCCCTACCCTGGGGAGTTACTGTGTGCCTGAGCTCCAGGTCCCCCCACAGATGCCCAAACCCACCTAGGCTGTCTCTGATATCCTCCCCTTTTCAGGGCGAGTGCCGTGGAGCCTGCATTCAATGCCTTCCCCCACAGCTGCACACCTCCTGGGTACTGGACCCCGGGGCACAAGGCGCTGGTGCATGCGGCCTGCCCAGGGCTCCCTGTGTCTGGAGGAAGACAGACAACCCTGGCACAGCACCAGGGGATGCCCGGCCTTAAGGGGCAGGCTGCTGGAAGGGGAACTGGGACTTCATCAGTCAGAGAGCCGTGTGGTTGATGAGGGTGGGAAGGGCACAAGAGAAAGGGAATATGCCATTCAGCCTGGCACAGGGACCAACGAGATGCCTGGCATGTCTGGAAGGCAGAGGCCACACTGGGCAGCCCTTGTGGTCAGCAGCAGGAAGAGGCAGAGGAAGCAGAGCTCAGCCAGGCAGGGGGCTCTGCACCGTGTGAGACACCTCGGGATGTGCCCCACGGCTGGACCACGAAGCCAGCTGGGCAGATCTGCCTGCCTGGACAGGAGACCAGGAAAATCTGGCAGGTGTTTCAGCTCCTGCCCTGAAGACCTGGAGGGTGGACTCTGGCAAAGTGTGGCTCCCAGCAGGGTGGGGGCTCAGGGGACTTACCCAGAGTGATGCTGAGTGCTAGGGCCATGTGGGCAAACTCCAAGCCCTCCTGGGGTTCCTAGGGCCATGTCGGCAAACTCCAAGCCCTCATGGGGTTCCTCCAGCGTGGCCAGCAGTGCCACCAGCTTGTGCACAGCCGCAGCTCCGCCTTGCAGTTCCCCGTAGTCACTGCCAGGAGCAGCGCCCGGTCCTACCACACAGGCAGGTGGGGTCAGGCTTCCCACAGCACCCACCTTGCCCAGTGCCCTCCTCAGAGCTCGAACATGTGCTTGGAGCTTCCCACGCCCCAGCTACCCCTGGATCTCGACACAGCTCTGTGCTCTGGGATAACGCACGGGTCAAACGCCCAAGTTAGGGGCTGAAGAGTCACCTGAGGCCCATCCAGCTACACCCGGCAGCCTCAGACCAGCCTCTCCCACCTGGGCACCGGGGGTCTGACGGGGGCGGGGGGGGGGGGGGGGAGAGCCAGCACTCCTCTCTGCTCTAAAAACACATTTATCTGTGCCCAGGGCTGAGCCACACCGTGAGCTCAGAGGAAGGGAGAAGCCATCCTCACTTTGGGGTGCATGTAGTCCTGGACCTCCCACTGACATGCTGTGTCCTTTGACATGTCCCTGTGCCTCTCTGAGCCTCAGTTTCCTCATGTGTAAGATGGGAACAGGACTTCCCGCTCATGGTTGCTTGAGATCATCACGTGCAAAGGTAAGGCCATTGCCATGTCCAGGCCCCAAGCGTTTGTCCCGGGCAGGGGGCACAGTCAATATCATTCCTGGTGAGACCACTAGGAAACTAAGCATGTGCATGGGGGGCCCTGCCTCCAGGTGGGAGGCCTCTGCCCTGCCACACCTGTGCCTCAGCCCTCCAGGTGCCCCCCGAGGCTCACCCACATCAGCCCACAGGCCAGCTCACCCGGTAGAAGGACACGGCTTTCTCTCGCTCCCAGGCCCCATTGAAGAAGATGTCTCCAGCTGCCTCAAACAGCTCCAGTCCCAGGTTGGGGTCGCCTGTGTACAGGGCCACATTCTGTGCCCCTGAAAGGAGGCAGAAGTTCCCTCAAGACCCCCACCTGGCGAGGTGGCCACGCCCACCTTTGCCAGCCTCCTTCCTCACACACACTGCAGGCACACCTGAGCATTTATCAGACCCTGGGCATTAGGGCTGCCCCCACCACTGGCATGAGGACAATGAACTGATGAACCTGAGTGACAGGAGGTGACTGAGCAGCTGCAGCCCAGAAGCCCGACACCTGTGAATCCTACCACCAGGGCTAGCCCTAGTCCACTCCCCCTGCACTCAAACCAGTCTCCGTGGCCCCCAGATTGCTGGGAGCCCATCCCCTGGCTCCTCTCTGCATTGCCACATCCCTGTCACAGCTCCGGGCCGCACACCAACAGTGTGTGTGGGTGGGCCTGGTCCCCTCTTGGCCATGAGCTCTTGATCCCTCTCCTCAGCTCAAGGAGGTATACAGCAGGTGCTCAATGATGAAAGCTTCACCAGGTTCGTGGGCTTCACAAGTTGTTCCAGATCACACTGTTTGGGAAAGCCTCTGAAAACAGCCGCTATGATAGATGCATTTTGTAAGGAGATGTGCCACGTGTCGCTTGGAGCAGGTTCTTCTGTGTGTTAACTGAGTGGCCACATTATTTGAGCATGTGCTGTATACCAGCAGGTGCTGGGCACTGTGAGGGGCCCTGCCTCCGCCCTCAGGGAGAAGATGCTGGCCACTGGGGGAGGATATGAGGGAACCAGTTGGACGGAGGGAAAAGGCATACAACAGATGCTCAGCAGTGGCTTAGGAATGAGTGGATGGATGGATGGGTGTGTGGATAGACGGATGCTTGGATGGACGGACAGATGAATGGGTGGGTGGTTAGAATGATGTGTGTATGTATGGGTGGGTAGACAATGTATGGATGGGTAGAGGGTAGATGATGTATGTACATATGGGTGGATAGACAAATGTATGGATAAACAAATGGACAGATGAATGGAGGGATGTATTAATAGGTACATTGGTGGGTAGATGGATGGATGGACGAACGGGGGAATGGATGGAAGGATGAACAGGAGGTGAGTGGATAGATGGATGGAAGGATGGATGAACAGGTGAATGGATGGTTGGTGGATGGATGGATAGAAGGATGGACAGCTGAATGGATGGATAATGGAAAAATGGATGAACAGGTGAACAGATGGATGATGGAAGGATAGATGAACAGTTGGATGGACAGGTGAATGGATGATAGATGGATGGATGATGGATGGATGGATGGATGGACCCACAGGTAAACAGATGATGGAAGGATGAATGGATAGATGGGTGAATAGATGGATGAACAGGTAAATAGATGATGGAAGGATGAATGGATGGATGGACAGAGTGTGAACAGCACTTGCCACTCACCTGGATGTACAGGTCCACCAGCTCGCTCTGCTGCAGGATGTAACAGATCTTCCCTGCTTGCAGCCAGGCATGCGCCTCCTCCTCTTCTGGAGGTCAATGAAAATCCCCAGACATCGTTTGGTGTAGTCCACAGCACATTTGTAGGCCCTGGAATCAGACAAAGATGTCAGAACAAGGGCTCTCATCCTCCTGGAACCAGTCTGCCTCCTCCCATGGGTCTGGGGACAGATGAATCTGGAATGTGGGGACTGGGAACAGCCCCCTTGTGTGTGCAGTGTTCTGCCCTTCCCAGGCTGCTGGGAGGGCCAGGGTGAACACACGCGGCATGGAAAAGATGAAGGACATCCTTCTGAGGGAATCGAGCATCGTGCTGCCCTGTGGCAGGAGGAGTGTGCTAGTCCATCTCCCCTGCCTCCCAGACATGGCCTGTGTCTTCTCCAGACGCACCAGGAGCCGTTAGTGTTCAGAGGCTATCTAGGCCGATGGTTCTCGAGATGTGCAGGCATCACAGTCACCCAGAAGCCTGTCCGTATAGCTTGCTGGCCCTGCCCGCAGAACTTCCGGCTCCACAGGCCTGGGGCAGACCCTAAAACTCCCACTTGCCACAAGCTCCTAGGTGACATGGATGCTGCTCTGCTGGTCCAGGCACCACACTTTGAGAAGCATGGCTTTAGCACACTGGCCTGTTTTCCTTCTGGGAACCTGAGGCCAAGACTGGAGCCAGTCTCCCGGGTCGCCGTGGAATCTGGCTCCTTCCCGGCTCTGTCAGTAAGTCCGACACTCGAGAAGGTGTAACTGCAGCAATGTCACCGGGCCCTGTGAGTGGGGTGGCCAGGGCCATGGTTACCCCACCAGGTCAGGATGATCGGGGGAAGCCAAGTGGGCCACATATGGGACGTGATACCTTGAAACCCTGCCCCAGGGAAGCAGGTGACACAACTGGCTCTGGCTGCTGTGGTCACATTTAAGGGGACAGATGAAGGCCAGCAGTGAAGACTCAGGACAGGCAGAGGTCAGATGATGAGAGCCACCCTAGTAGGAAGAACAGCCCAGACTGCACGTACTGCCTCTGCTGGGGTTGAGATGACCTTTGGGGAGGTGTGCAGGCAGGGATGGGAAGACGTGTCACCCAACAAGGGAGGCTCAAGCTGGGACTCACGGGCCATCTGCAGCCCTGGGACGACCCCAGGCCCAGCAGCTCAAAGAATCTGATGCCAAGAAACCAAATGATCCCAAGGACAGAGGCTGCTGGGGCCCTGGGCCAGCTTCCCTGTGCCCCCCTCCCTGCCCTGCTACCCCACCCCCTTTGTGCCCCTCCCCGCAGTGGGGGCTGGGGAGCTGGGTTCCTGGAGGGTCTCCTTCCAGTCAGAGACTGTCCCTGGGGAAGAAGCCTGGGTCTGAACCCCACACCCCTCCCTGGGCAGATGTGTGGGACCAGGGCCCCTTCACACGGTCCTTTCCAAAATCTCATCCCTCCTAGGGCCAGGAATGGGTGCCCGGCCTGTGCTGGGAAATGGGCAGATTTAGCCACAGCCCCTGGGGCTCTGGGCCAGGCCACAGGAGGCACCTCTAGTCTCACTATGCCGTGACGTCCATCCTGGGAGGATGGACAAAGTGCTGCAAGGCAGAGGGGACACACAACAGCATCCCTTGTCTTGGCCATTTCCCTAGACTCAACTTCCCCATCTATCCTCTGCGGCCTAGATTTCGGACAGCCCTGCCCGCCTACTGTCCGTTCACTGCTCAGTCTCCAGTGACTGTTCTATAGCAAACCATGGCTCCCCAGTGCTCTTGGGGAAAAGGCCAAGCCACAGCCTAAGGCCCCAGGCCCTGCTTAGCTCTCCAGAAGAGCTTCTCACCATCCAGCACCCAACCCACCCACTCCCAACTCTGCACCTCCCTGCGTAAGCCCAGCTCACTCAACCCCGCTCACACTCCCGTTCACTCACCACCATTCACCCACCGCCACTCATCCTCACTAGCTCACCCCTGGGCCTTCACACAGGCTACACCACCAGCCCCTCCCCGCCCCCACCACCATCACCTATTACTTGACTAAGTCCAATCAACCCTCTGGTCCCAGACTAAAGAGTCTTCCCGAACCCGGGGCCAAGTGCTGCCCCGCCATCACGCCACTCAGCCTTTTGTGGCTTCTCTGGCCTGAAGCTCACATTCCTACATTCAGCCACTGCCACCTGAGGACCCCACAAACCCCATTTGTGGGTGGGGCCTGGCACACTCTGCACAACAAGCTTTTGCATGAACTGCTCTGCAGCTTTCGGCAATCACCTGCCCCGTGTCCTCTGTGAAGTGGGATGACAGGTGCACAGGCTGCCGATATACCAAGCAGATAACACGGGCACAAGAACCGGCATTCAGGGCCTGGCTCATGGAGGGGCCCCAAGTCCCAGCTCAGCAGAGCCTGCCTTGACCCCAGGGTTATGTCTAGGGATTCCCAGCATGCAGGCCTTTCAGTGCTCAAGGCAGGATTGTCCCTGGGCAAACTGGGAAGAGCTGGCTGCCCCAGTAGAGCACGGCCCTGCATGGGAACGCCCTGTCTCCAGGGCGCTTGCCAACATCTGCTGTTGGCCATGACTCAGCACTTTCGATGGTGGAAAAACCACTTGTTTCTGAATCACAAATTCCAGGTGTGCCTTGACCCGAGTGGCCCCAGAAGGTGCACAGGACGACTCGGGGCACCCACTCTCCACGTGGCCCATCTCCATGGCGACCAGACGGGCCCACTGGTAGTAGCCCTTGCCCTGCTGGGCCGGGCCCTGGTGGGTGCAGAGGTGACCCAGCTGCAGGAGCACGTGGGTGAAGTCCCAGCCACACTCCTTGCAGGGCAGCCTCGAGAACAGCCTCATGGCCCCCAGGAGGTCGTGCTGGGCCAGCCTGCTGGCACCCGCGTGCAGGCACAGGGCCCCGAAGTTGGCCAGCGCCACTGCCTGGTTCCTCCGCTGATCCAGGTCCCGAGCCACCCGTAGGGCGCGGTAGTAGCCCTCGGCTGCCTGCCTCGTCCGGCCCGTCCTCTTCAGAGCCATGGCCACCATGTTGGCATTCACGCCCTCCTGGTCCTCGCTGGCCACCACTGGACAGACTGCAGGATGTGCAGGGCCATTGGGCTCTGCCCCTGAAGCACGTGCAGCCAGGCCACAGCCATCAGGCGGTCCACGATGGCACGGACTCTGGCAACAGCACTGGCTTCCACCGCCTGCGTCATGAAGGTGATGGCCGGGCCGTGGTAGCCATGGTGGCTGTACAGCTGGGCCAGGCTGGTGTGGAGAAGGCCGCGCAGCACCTGGCCTGTGCCCGGGGTTAGGGAGGCCAGCGCTCGCCTGAGGTAGTGGGGAGGCTGTGGGGCTGGAGGACGTTCTGGAGCACCAGGTTCACGCTCCTCAGCAAGCCGGCCAGCGAGTCCTGTGCCCTCAATGAGGCCACCTTGACACAGCTCAGCACCAGGTGGGGCAGGCACTTGCAGCTGCAGATGTCAGCTAGGAGTAGGTGACAGTCTGAGAGCCACGCAGCCTCTGGGGCTCCTGAGTCCCTGTGCAAAAGCAGTAGCCGCTCTAGGAAGGGCAGGGCCTCCTCGGGCTGCTTGAGGTACACATGGTGCCTGGCCAGCAGGAAGCAGGCCCGGGCCTCGGCCTGCAGGCTCTGGCCACCCACCGCCCGCCGCAGCACCAGCTGCAGGAGCTCCCCCTCCACCTCGGTGCTGCAGATGTGGCCAGGCGTCCCCAGGAGCAGGGTCACAGCTTTGGGAACCACCTGTGTACAGTTCTCCCGGTTCTTCTGCTTCCAGTAAATACTGGCCAGGTTGGCGTACACAGCCACCACCAGGAACAGGTCCCCAAAGCTGCCCTCCAGGGTCCCCAGTGCTTCCTCAAAGTACACCCAGGCCTGGGACAGCTTGAGCCTCCTGCTGCACAGCCGCCCCAGGAGGAAGCAGAGCCTGGCCAGGGCCGTGACGAGGCCAGCTTTCTTGGCCACCCTTCGGGCCCATGCCAGGCGCCCAATCAGCTCCTCATCACTAAAGCTGCAGAACACGGTGCTCAGCCATGGCAGCGCCACGTCAGCTGGCCTTGTACCCGGGGGCGTTCAGGAACAGCAGCAGTGAGCTCAGGGCTCCTCCCAGTCGTCCTCAGCTTCCAAGCAGAAGGAGGGCTCCTCGGGGTCCTGCAAACTCACGTTGCTGGATGCTGGGGGCAGCCTGGGCAGGTCTTTGTTACATTTTTCCGGAACATTCTTCATCTTCTGCAGGGTTGCCTGTGGCTTCGGGCCCAGGCAAGGTGGAGGTATTTCTGCAAGTCACAAAAACACCTAGACAGATTAGAGTCCAGCAGTGAGTCCTTGGTCCACTGGGGACAGGGTCCCTGCATCCCTGCCCTCTGTGTCCCTGGTGCAGCTTGCCATGAGCCCTTGAGAATTATGTGCAATGCAAACCCGGGGCCTGGAGCACGTCGGAACTCTGGCACTATGGGGACAGAACACGCAGGCCTGTGGCCCGACTCTCCTACAAAATCACCCTCCTGTCCTGCTTTGTCACCCACCTGACAGCATGGTTTTAGGGCACTATGTCAGCTCAGTGATCCCTCAGAGATGCCTTTTCAGGCCCCCCGATGGGGTACAGGACTCCATGAAATCCCCAACAGCCCATCAGAGCTATTGATCAGCTCAAAAGTTGCTAGCAAAATTGGTAAAGCCACTGATGGCACAGGACAGGGGTGTTGTAGCCATGTACCCAGCTCCGTGCAGGGAAACGGACCATCCCTGCAGGAAGGATGGGAAAGCTTCCAGGCCCCTGTGGCCACCTTCACCTTGGATGGTCTGAAAACCTGAAGCCCACAGTTCTAAGGGTTAACAAAGGCCAGGCTGCTCAGCAGCCCACCCAGGTGCCTGCTGGCTTCTTAGCCGAAAGCCCCTCCAGAGGTGAGCAAACAGCGCATTTCCTGTTGGAAAACCTGGGATGAAAGGAGAGCATTGCACAGGAAGGAAAAAAACCTAGATTTAAACAGACTCTGTTTCAAGCTCACATGTAAAAAGTATTTTCAATACAAACTGTCTCCTTATTCGTCTGTAAAGCCTTGGAATTAAAAAATAAATATGATTTAGAGACAAATGTCTGACTTACATTACTAGATGAGCTAGGAAATCTCCCCACCGGCGAGGCACACAGCCCCCTCAGCCGCTACCCTGGCCTCCAAGGCGGCTGGAGAGCCCACGTGCCTCCAGGAACCCCAATTGTGGGTGGAAAGCTAAGAAATCTCCCCCACCCGGCAGAGGCACACAGCCCCTCCCAGCCACTACCCTGGCCTCCAAGGCAGCTGGAGAGCCATGTGCCTTTGCTCCAGGGACTTTGGCAGCAGGTGGAACCACCCCGTCCCTGAGGCAAACCTACAGCAGCCTTCCCTTCCCCACTGGCTCCCCGGGCTGCCTCTGGGACCTTGTGCCTGCATCCCAAACGTACTGGGATGGATCCCATTCCCAGGGAACTTCCAAGGGCCCTTGGGGCATCCATATCACCAGGCTGTCCACATGCAGACCCTGTGTGAGGGGAAGAGACAGAGCCGTAGAGGGGAGACGGGAGGGCCTCCCTGAATCAGCCCCTCAGGAAGGAGCAGACCCTTCAGGGATCTCAGTTGAGACCCCTGCAACCTAAGGCTCTGAATTCTGCCACCCACTGAGGGCAGTGTGGCCTCCCACCTCTGAGGCAGAACACAGGGTGAGCTGCAGCTTCTCCAGGTCATGAGAAAGGAACCCACAGCTACACGTGGGCCCCAGCAGTGGAAGGATGCCCCACCTGGCTCGGGGACCAGGCGGGGGCCAGCATGTTCACTGGAAGAAGTGTGGGACCCCACAGCCTCCAGTGCCAGAGTAGACGGGAAGTTCAGGCCCACCTCAGGTGACATCCCCCAAGCCCCCAGCCCACACCTCAGAGGGGTGACAGCCGGATCCAATGCCCACCATACTCAGCTCTGTGACTTCCGCCAGCATTACTCCAAGGCCCAACTCAACCAGAGGAAGCCTGAGCCACCGGCAAAACCCACCTCGTTCCTGCGGCTGCTCGGTCTCAGCTTCCTCTACTGAGTCTGGCAAGGGAGAAAAGAGAAGCCATCAACACCCCCAGCCAGCACCTCTGGTCCCATGTCAGCTTGAGCTCGGTGTCGGTGTTGCAGGGTGAGAGCATTGCAGGGTGCAGGGGTTGAAAGTAATATCATCCCCTTCCCTCCTGGATCATTTGAACAACATCACTGGGGGGTATACACTTTCTGCGATATTGGGAGTAACATCGTCTTCTGTGCCTTGGAATATTAAGGACAATATCACGGCGGGGGGAGGTGGGGGCGTGTACATCTTCTGCAATATTGGGAATAATAATATCCTCTCTCCCCCTGCAAATTCGGAAAGAGATCACAGAGTGGGTGTTCACCTCCTGCGATATGGGGATTAATACCATCTTCTCCCCTTCTGGATATCAGGAAGAGTATCACACGGGGGTGTACAGTGTCTGCGATACTGGGAATAATATCAATCTCTCGGCCTTGAGATATTAGGAACAATATCCCAGGCTGGGTGTACGCCTCCTGCTCTATGGGGAGTCATATCATCCTCTCCCTTCCAGGATATTAATAACAATATCACAGGGCGGGTGAACACAGCCTGCGATACTGGAATTATTATCCTCCTCTCCCCCTCCGGATACTAGGAACAATATCACAGAAGAGCTGTACCCTCCCTGCGATATTGGGAGTAATATCATAGGCTTCTTCTCTGAATATTAGGAGCAATATCACCGGGTGGCTGTCCGTTCATTGCTATGTTGGGAGTCATGTCATGCTCTACCCCCCTGGATATTAGGATCCGTGTCACGGGGTGAGTGTACACCTACTGCGATATTAAAACTAATATCATGCTCTCTGTCTCTGGATATTAGGAACGACATCACAGGTAGGTGTACACCCCCTGCGGTATTAGAAGCAATAATATTATAAATTAGTAAACATCAATGATCGATTTTAATAATTATCAGGCTGGTCTCGAACTCTTGACCTCAGGTGATCTGCCCGCCTCGGCCTCCCAAAGTGCTGGAATTACAGGCATGAGCCACTGCGCCCGGCCAACACTTCTTAACATCTCTTTTTTGGACCTCAAATTTAGCATGCCCAAAACATACTTTTGATTCCCTCTGCTATAACCCACTCCTCCCAGTCTTCCCGATCCCAATAACAGCATCTCTAGTCTTCCAGTTACTCAGGCCAAAATCCTTGACATCATCCTTAAAACTTCTTTTTCTCTCTCTTGCCATCCAACCCATTTAAACTCTCCTTTCAAAATATATGCCAGACCTAACCACTTCCCACCTTCCTCATCATTTCCAACCAGGTCCAGCCCTCATCATAGCGCTCTAGGTAACTGCAAAAGCCTCCCAATCGCCAGGCACAGTGCCTCATGCCTGTAATCTCAGCACTTTGGTAGGCCAAGGCAGGTGGATCATCAGAGGTCAGGAGTTCAAGACCAGCCTGGCCAACATGGTGAAACCACCCTACTAAAAATACAAAAAATTAGCCGAGCATGGTGGTGGGTGCCTGTAATCCCAGCTATTTGGGAGGCTGAAGCAGGAGAATCACTTGAACTCAGAAGGCAGAGGTTACAGTGAGCCGAGATCGTGCCATTGCACTCTAGCCTGGGTGACAAGAGTGAAACTCCATCTCAGAAGGTTAAAAAAAAAAAAGCCTCCCAACCCACCTCTCTCCTTCCGCCTTTCACCCTGCCCTGCATTCTACCTTCCTCTCTCAAACATTTCAGAAAAAAAAATTATATCCACAGAGAGAGAAAGTACAAATGGGGTGAAATGTTTGGGGAATCTGAGGGAAGAGCATATGGGAATTCTCTGTACTATTTCTGCAACTTTTCCATAAGTCTGGATTATTTCAAATTCAAGAGTTAAACAAAGAAGAAAAATAAAAAAACCACTATCTCCCTTTGTGAACCCATCCTGTCTTTCCCCTGGCAACTGAAGGACGCTCTCAACTAACACACCTATTTTTTCATGAACACTAAAAGAACCCTTGCCTAGTTTTGTCTTTCTGTGCTTGGCAGTAGAAGTGTGTGTGTGTGTGTGTGTGTGTATTTCATATATATGTGTGTGTGTGTGTATATGTGTGTGTGGTGTGTGTGTATATATATATAGAGAAATATATATGTGTGTGTATATATATAAATATATATTGCATATTGACAATGGTAATATGTATATATAAATATATGTGTGTGTGTGTGTGGGTATATAATACATACCCCATTAGCTTGTCCTTAACCAGTTCTAAACTTAGTGGGAAAAACAGATACCTAAGCAGAGGATTTCAAAATAATATGATGAATATTTTGACAGAGGGATGCGTTGCTATGGAACACGCTGCTAAGACACAAAACCTCCTAGATAGGACAATGAATGAACTAAGTTTTGCACCTATAGGCACCCCCACTGATATCCTCACAAACCTTTATAGTTATATGCATTTGCTTCCCCCAGGACCCCCGTTTCATAAGGGTTAGTCCTGGAGCCTAGCAAGTTCCCACTACAGCTGGCACACGTGCCATTCAAGAAACAGTGGCGGAGTGAAGGACGAGTTAAGAGCCATCTGTCAGCCAGTGCTCAGTAATACAACACGCACTGATATGCAAATTATATTTGTGTTGAAAGCAAGGGCAGGATCACAAATTGTCTTTCCAGAGAAAGCAAATCTCAAAAACTTCTTTACCCTACTAAAGCACATTACAAGAAGCTCCCCTTATATAACAGAAAACCTCCTCATTCGTTACCAATGGCACGTAAACCTAGTACGCCTCCGCCTCTGATGACATCTCTTCCATCCCCAGGGCTAGACAAAGGAGGTTCCGGAAACCCTGGTAGTTGTGAAGGTGGCTCCCAGCTCTGACAGTCTTGAACCCTGCAGGCACGGAGGTCACACAGCAGAACAACAACAGAGGGAAGCATCAGCAGGCTCCGAATATGTTTGAACCTGAGATGGCAAATAGGCTGCAACCAATTGAAAACACCAGAGATTCACGGTAGCCACCTGAGGGGTTGTGCTTTTAAAAAACAAAAATAAAAAATAAAAAGTAAAAAAGTGAAAAAGGAAGGGGTCAAGAATCCATCAGGTCTGACTGAGACATGTATCAGTGACTAACACCCCATATGGCAAAAGCATTCCGGTGCACTTTGGGTCCTCACAGCTTCAGCAGTATTCAAAGGCGTGTGCTGCCCTAAGACTAAGCCACGGGAATACCCCCAGCAACTCTGCCAGGAGAAACAGCTCACATGGATTTGGCTAGAAATACAGTTGTCTTTAACAAATTAACACTGAATAAATCCTGACTTATTAGAGCCTGCGAGAATGACATTCTCAATGATAACAGTTATCACTACAATCTCCAAACATCTGCGATCCTGCAAGGAGGAACTGTGCAAGGAGGAACTCAGACAGTGCAGGCCACATGTCCAGAATGCTTCCCAGACTGCCTGTTACAGAATAAAAAAAGAAATGAATCCCCCTAAGAATGTCTTCACTCATATGTAGCCAGTTGTTCCTTTGTGTGCATCTCTGTGCTAAAATGCCATTCTTCCCTACAGCCTGAAGTCCTATGCTAAAATAAATGAGACCTCGCATGAAGCCAGAAATACGCAGATGGTGAAACCCACACAAATGAAATGGGCTGGAGTGTGGCCAGGAGGGATGGTACTTCCCAGGAAGCAATTATCATCTGCCCACGGAAGCTGGCACACACTGTCCCCAGGCCTACGCCAGCCACCTACAGGTTCTAATCCAAACTACCTCCAACAATCAACGTAAATACACCACACAATTGGCTTCTGAAAGGACACCTTGCAACTAACAAGAAACTGTAAGCACAACTTTGAAAACTGTGCAACTAAAACCTGAAAGGGATAAACATTGCCACATTTTGACTCAAATACTGTTACATGGTAGCACTGCAATAATTCACTGAAATGAAAGAATGAATGAGGAATACCTTTATATAGGAATCAGAGGAAGCATGACTAATTATTTAAAGAAACAGGCCAAGAAACTGCTAGGTTCAAATGCTACTGTGTGAGACACTGTCATGGCCTTGTGGCAAATTCACTTCTCTTGGTCGGCTTCTAGGCTCATCAAAAACCAGCTTTGGACTAGGGAACCTGTTGCTTTCAATGCCTTTCCCTTCTGCAATTCCAGCCCAGATTTTAGGACTGCTCTCCCACTTGGTATAAGAAAGCTCCTTTCTGTGTATAATAGCAAGAGTACATTTCTGTGTTGAATGCGGTTTGGGACTCCACTTATGAAGAAGAATATCACCATGTAACTTAAGCATGAGTGACAAGGCGACTTGTGAGAAGGATAACACATAAGATGTGGCCACACGCCTGTGCGTGTCTGGCAGGCAGATGGGGAAGTCTCATTTAGTGAGGCCAGGGGGCCGGTTGTACCTTAACATCCTCAGTCCACGCTGTCTACAACGTCCTTCTGACATCAAACCACAGGTATCACATAATTTTCCATCCTTTCCACCTAAGATTAAAACATGCAGAGCACCGGGCAGTGGATAAAGACGCTCCATCACCAGCATGTTGCCTCGGCTCTGTAGAATTACACGCCCAGTATGATCACCAGGCTGCAGCGCAAGCAAGACTGGGCCCGTGGGACAGCAGGCCCTGCAGCAGCCACCACTCCTGTCACCACAGTCTGATGCAGCTGCAGAGAAGCTGTGGCTGAGGCCATTCACTTTGTGAGAGAACCGCACAGGAGGAAAAGGTAGGAAAAGGTAGAGAAGAGGGCAATGTCGGCCTCTGAGTCCAAGCCAAGCCATCGCATCCCCTGTGACTTGCACGTATATGCCCAAATGGCCTGAAGTAACTGAAGAATCACAAAAGAAGTGCAAATGCCCTGCCCCGCCTTAACTGGTGACATTCCGCCACAAAAGAAGTGAAAATGGCCAGTCCTTGCCTTAAGAGATGATATTATCTTGTGAAATTCCTTTCCTGGCTCATCGTGGCTCAAAACCTCCCCACTGAGCACCTTGTGACCCCAACTCCTGCTCGCCAGAGAACAACCCCCTTTGACTGTAATTTTCCTTTACCTACCCAAATCCTATAAAACAGCCCCACCCTTATCTCCCTTCCCTCACTTTCTTCGGACTCAGCCCGCCTGCACCCAGGTGATTAAAGAGCTTTACTGCTGACACAAAGCCTGTTTGGTGGTCTTTTCACATGGACGTGGCATGACAGGTGCAGGTGCAGAGCCAGGGAAGGACCTGTGATGAGAACAGAAAGGAATGCGCCTCCCTGTACGCACACTCGGATTTTATGACAACGTGGGCAGGGGGCTGGAACTGGATGCCTGAGAACATTCCCTTCCAAGTTCTTTTTTGCTGATTTTCTAAATATTGATGTAAAATCTGAACTCAGACAAAAATTTTTAAATCGCCTAATCAACATCTTTGTTCATGCTCAGCATCATGTCTACATGATCATCTAGAAAACCAACTTCTGTTCTAAGGCTCACATCTTCCTATAAAGTCCCAGGGATTTTACAAGGGAATGCACCTCTCATTTGCATCAAGAACACACACGACAATTTGTTTACATCATTTTTTAAACACCCAGATTTGAAATACAATTGAGAAGACAACTTTTGATAGCTCTGCTTTTGAACTGTGAACTGCAGAGAAAATAACTCACATTTCTAACTAGCCAACAGCTCCGTTTTCCCCAAGGCAGTAGCAGCAATCTTTCTGAGCTCAGGATGAAAGAACCTAGGCTGGTTAGGACAGACAATCATCAGTTGTCAGCTGGTTTCCCGGGTCCCAAATCCCCATGTGATATGGGGAAGTAAAGCTATCAGTGACCAAGCATCTGAACACTTATCCCACCTCGCCAACTGCTTCTCCTGCCACGTAAATTTAAAATTAATAAGCCTGCTATTAGAGAACAGAGTTGGTGCTGCATCTGTCTTCCTAAAATTGATGACAATTACCAGCCCACAATGGCTTCTAATCAGATTTGAGTAGTCCTTAGACAGGAAGTGGCATGCCTCTCAGCTCCTAAAACCGAGAAGAAAACAGAAACTGGAATGTCAGGTTTCATTTTTTCCCCCTTGTTCTAAAGTTGCTGTTCCCGAATCTCCTTCTACTGTCTTGTTTATAAAATGTATGAGAAACAGGGAAATTTAAAGACACAATAGAAATGGCCACTTTTTTTCTAGGTACAAACTTTGTAACAAAGGATTTTCAGCTGCTGGGCTTTTTCTCCACAAACTGTGAGCCTGGAGTACATTTTCTCCTCGTGGTTACACATTCAGAGTCAGGAAGGCTTTAGCAGTAAAGAGGGGAGGGAAAAAGCAAGGACTGACACTGAGAAGGGCAGACAGGAGTCCACCTCGGTGGCCTGCAGTGCCTCTGGGCCTCGGCCTTTACTTTCTATCTGTACAAGGGATCTAAAGGCCTTGATTCTAGGGGCCATGACAGCGTCTTCATACACACACGCAAACATCACATGCCTATGTGAAAGCTGTGACACTCGGCTGATTTCCCCACAAGAAGATTCTTGTATCATTTCTACTCAAGTACTCCACCTCCTTCCAGACAAGTATCTGAGGATGATGGGCTATCCCACAGCCATGTGTGTAACCTCTCCTGCTTACGATCCTGTTCATATAGCATTTTCCAAAAGCACATGGAAGTGACAGAAGAAAGAAGAATAAGGTTCTTTCAGCCCATTCATTCGCTCATTCATCCAACAAATATTGACTATCTACGTGCCAGGCACTGTATATCACCAGGGAGATATATATATATCTGTAGATATAACAGGGAACATATATTTTTGTAGGTAGATATAGACAACCAAAAAGTATACAAAGAGTGATCAATGCTGTGGAGGAAAATACACCACAGGAAACAGGAAAGAAGAATAACCTCAGCCACCCTACACTGGGGTGATGTTGAAGCATAAAATGGAAACAGCGGCCGGGCGCAGTGGCTCACACTTGTAATCTCAGCTCTTTGGGAGGCTGAGGCAGGCAGATCACCTGAGTTCCAAGATCAGCCTCACCAACACGGCGAAACCCTGTCTCTACTAGAAACACAAAAATTAGCTGGGCATGGTGGCACACGCCTGTAATCCCAGTTATCGAGGAAGCTGAGGCACAAGAATCACTTGCACCTGGGAGGCAGAGGCCAGAGTGAGCCGAGATCGCACCACCGCATTCCAGCCTTAGCGAGATCACACCACTGCACTCCAGCCTGGGTGACAGAGCAAGACTCTGTCTCACAAAAAATAAAAATAAAAATACAATGTAAACAGAGAATAAGATACCAAAAGAAAGAACATGAAAGATTAATTGTAACAAAAGGCTTTGTAAGTTGATACTTTCCTTCTTTGTCCCTTACAAATGGAAAAAGGGCGGGTAGGGGTAGCATCAAAATGATGGTGATGTTTAAGCTGGTTGGTTTCAGATACGACAGCCATACTATGTACTTCAAGGAAAAAGCTCTGTAAGCCATCTGGGCAATGGTTTAATGTCTTTTTTTTTTTTTTTTCAGAGAGTTTTTAAAATACAGGAAAACGTGTGTGTTTCCTTGGCTGCCTGCAGTCGCACACGTGCAAACTGTGCTATCAGATTTTTCCATGTTTTGCTGAATTTGCCAGCTTGCCATAAACAGGCTTCCATGTCTTTTTCTTAATGTCTATAAATCAGTACTAAACACTCCAAAATGCAAATCAAGACAAGCTGTCCTTCAACTGCTGCTGCCATGATGACAGCATACAATTGGCCAAATCAATACGCTGAGACTGAAGCTGTCCAACAGAGAGCACAGGGCTGACTGTTGCTTTTCCCATAGCATTTAAAGAAACAAGTTGAAACGGTTTCCATATTGGGTGGACAGACACGTCCTTTGTTCTTTGAATAAATACTGCCAATGCCCAAAATACTTTCTCCATCACACCATCTATATGGAATTCAAGTTCCTTCCAATACCATGAGTAACGCCAGTGATAGACTATGTTTAGCCATAATGACCAATAGCATTCTTTTTCCTCTAAAATGTTGAAATAATAACATTGAGTGTGCACTCACGAGGTGCCAGGCTCTGAGTTTTAAGCCCTGCTTAGTTCTTGTTGAAATCCTGTAAGATCAGTACCATATTCTCTCATTTTTCATCAGTGAGGAACTGAGGCCTAGAAAGTGCCAAGTAAGTTGTCCATGGTCACAGGTTATTTAGGAACTTTTCTCCAAACTTTCAAAAGTTAACTACTGCCACTATTACAAATGGGTTTCTCTGTGTTTGTTTGTTTTGGAACAGGCCTCTGCTCTGACCAGGCTGGGAGGCAGTGGCGTGATGATGGTTCACTGCAGCCTCGACCTCCCGGGCTCAAGTGATTCTTGCATCTCAGTCTCTCCAGTAGCTGGGATTACAGGCATGAGCCACCACACCTGGCCAATTTTTTTAATTTTCATTTTTGTAGGGATGGGGTTCCCACCATGCTGTCCAGAGACTGGTTCTGGAACCTGGGCTCAAGAGATCCTCCCGCCGGCCTCCCAAAGTGCTGGGATTACAGGTGTAAGCCACTGTGCACAGCTCTACAAATGTGACTTATACAAAGTCAGAGCAGGGAGCAGGAAGAGAACAGAGACTTCAGCGAGTCTCCCGGCTGTTGCAACACCATATCCCTCCATGTAGCATGTGCTCACCCACCAAGCTCCCAGACGTTGAAGGCAGGCCAGCTCAGAAACGAAACAGCAGTAAAGAAAGAGAAGGCAGACACGCTTTATCAGCTCGAGCGTGCCTCTCTCATCCCTGCAGCTGCACAGGCAGAAACCAGGGGCCGGAGTCTGAGGCAGTGCTTGGTTCCTGGCACGTAATCTTTGGGAGACTATCCCATACAATTAGTGTTACACTTCTCAAAAAGGAAGTATGACTTTTATAGAAAAATCGCTTCCATTTGGGAGAAAGGTTTAATAAAACCACAAAAGGATAATACATTCATACAACAACAAATTAAATTCATCCACCACAAACTGAAATCCCAAAGCCCTCTGGGCACACAGCTGCTTTTCTGAGCTGAAATTCAACTCCAGTTGAGAAACAGGTCAACTTTCCTAAAAAGATTTCTTTTTCACATGCCTTAAATAAAAATTCCTTTCCCTCACTTGTCATTTTCCAGATTTAATGTGGCTCTGTTATCTTTCCTTTCCATTTAGGCCATGAGCACTGACTGCATGTCTGCTACGGCCAGGACTCCAAGGGAGGCACCCCAGGGAACACAGATGACTACAGCACAGTGACACCTCAGGGAATACACACGGGAAGGCAAGATGATAATCACAGCCGACACAGAAAAGAACTTGCATCCATAATTTCGTCCCATTTCTAGAAAACAACGATGCTGAGTCAGTAACATTTACCGAACGGCCTGCAGTGTGGAGGCAGGCACAAGGGGGCTCCAGGTAGGGAAGAGCACCTTCAGAAGGGGGCAAGGGTAAACAATTCGTGGAGGCAGGAGATGCCTCACGCACAAGGGCTAGCTCTGGGGCCTGCAGAAATGCCTATGCATCTGGGAGGAGCGAAAGAGACAAGATACTTAAATGCTCCAAAATTTGAAGAAACTCCTAAGAACCTCCCGAAATGGGGCAGGGATTTACAAAAGACCAAAGCAAGCATGCACAGTTACCTGAGCATAGCGCCACGAGAGCGAGCTATCAAGGAAGAAACAGGGTCCCTAGAAGCCTGAGCCTCTACTCCCAGCTCTGTGACTCATTCACCCTATGACCTTGGTGAAGGCTCTTAGCTTCTGTGAGCCACAAGAGAATCATGGGAAAACAGAAGATAAAACGTTTTTCACAGAACTGCTGAGGGAATAAAATCAGATAATGGATTTTAAAATTCTCTGTGAATTACGAAGCAAAATACAAATGTATGAAATCATTCTTACCATTAATAACAGCACTGTAAAAATTAAGAGCAGAGTTAAGACTGCAGCACTTTCACCCCTACCCTGAGAGAAATAGTGAGTCCAGCTGATGTATTCGGGCAACCCCAGTATCTAGGCTTCGAGAGCCTCAAACAGCTCATGAACTCTGGACAATATCACTCCAGCCCAGTGCCTGGCTAAGTTCTCCAAGACAGCCAACTGACAGAAAATACTACAGCTTTTTCAGCTGGGCTTGAAGCCCTCCAAGCTCACAGCACAGCTCACAATGAAGAAGAGGTTTTGCCAACACTCAAAGCTGGCTTTTGTAGATTCCTACAGAGAAAGAATATTCAAGGCCAGCATGGCGGCTCATGCCTGTAATCCCAGCACTTTGGGAAGCCGAGGCCGGAGGATCACTTGAGGTCAGAAGTTCAAGAACAGTACGCTACTCAAGGTGAAGCCCTGTCTCTACTAAAAATTACAAAAATTAGCCGGGCAGATGCTGGTGGGCACCTGTAATCCCAGCAACTCGAGCGGAGGCAGGAGAATCGCTTGAACTCAGGGGAGGTTTGAGGTTGCAGTGAGCTGAGATCACGCCACTGCACTCCAGCCTGGGCGATAAGAGCTAAACTCCATCTCAAAAAAAAAAAGAGCATTCTTTGCTGATGTTAAATTTCCTGTGCTGCAATACAGAGAAATCATACAAATACTGAAATCCTGAAAACATTTCATAAAAAAGCATTTAGTGACAGAAAATACATTCAATATAATCGCACAGTGAGTTCTCCTCTTTCCAGCCAGCTCCACTAACGCTGTGACCCTTAATGCTTTCACTACCACAGAGGAAAAATTAATAGGACCGCTTATCCTCTCAGCTGACAGCTAAACCAGCAAGCCTCCCTGGGCTCACCAAAGATGACCTTTGGTCTAAAACCAGGCTGCAAAGACTCGTAAATGCTGACTAACAATTCTAAAATTCCCATGTTCTTTGTCCTCACTCCTATGAAGATGAACTAAAGCCAGGTGTCTCCAAGTCAGAACTAACAGAGAGGCCTTAAACGTCAGATGGCCCATCCTTCTTTCACAACCGGGGATCAAAGCCGATTATGGAAGAAAACAACCTGTTTAGTAACAAAGCGAAAACTAAAGCCTGGCCACCTAACTCCTGGTCCAGAACTCCCAAGACAATCCAGCACCCATACAGGATGAGTCTCCCCTTAACCAGAAACTCCTAAATCCACAACTTTTTGGAGTGTTTCGACGTGACGCCTGCCAACGAAATGTCTGGCTGGAGCAGCTCAGACTCTGGATTTTTGAATTCAGGATGCTCAACCAGCAAGTATAATACAAACATTCAAAAATCCAAAAATGTAAAAAAATCTGAGACACTTCTGGTTCCAAGCAGTTTGGATGAGGGATATTCAGCCTGCATTTTTTCCTCTAATGAAGGAAATTAAAAAAATGGTGCCCCAGCAAAGCCATTCAATCCATACTAAGTTTTCATTCAATAGTTTAATTAGTACCCATTTAAAGTTAAGTGCTACCCA